AGCATCAGTTACTGATCCAGCACCCCATGAGAGCAAAGAAAACTTAGCTAAGATGGGCTAACTAAAGAGTGATGTGAGCAGACCTGCCAAAGGACTAGCAACAAAAAGCAGAAGGATGTACACCTTTCCAACTACCAAACTTTTTTGGTAGATAGAAAAATAAACATTCTCAACATAACCGCAACAGCAAAACTCTCCTGCATATTTAAAGTTTACATGTGCTTACATTTTAAAATGGAGTTGTTATATTGGGACTCGTTCCTGAGTAGATGTGCAAAGTACTGAGCTCTGCTTTGCCTGCTTGGTGGCAAAATGTCCAAATGATTAAAATTACATTTGCTTATGTATATGCATGCGACTGCCCATGTGGCCCTTGGGCTATGAAATGCTGATTTAAAAGGAGATAGGTATTATATTTAAAGTTGAGTTACCTTCCTAGTAGTCTAACAACTTAAACTATTCTATATTCAGATAAAGGTGCCCCAAAGGTCAGGTAATTTTATTTATCTGCTTGAACGGAACATGGCACATTATATCTTGCACATCAACTTAAACCTCCACACTGTTCCGTTTCAGGGAAAACAAGAACATTGATTTGGAGAGTTGGGATACCACATTAACTCTCACATTCAATCCTGGTCAAACCAAGGAACCAGTGGCCCTTCAGTGACTGAGGGAGCTACTCTCATTTCAAACAACAACTCTGTTTTCTCTACCCTAGCCCAGATATGCCCTGCTTGCTATACTTAGGATGAACTTGTTGCAGGAAGAAACCACCATCTGTGTTGTTTGAGGAGTCAAGTGCCTATGAGGTATGTAGCTGATCCCTCAGTGAGCTTGACCCAAGAGGGAATTCATTGTCCTCCGATGAACTGAAAGTCTGTGTGGGAGCCAACTCCAAATTCTTCAGCTAGATCTACAGTCCCAATACATTCAAAAGATGCAGTGTAATCATAACAAAATGCAGGAGCTTGGTACTAAATTGTAGTACTAATAACAAGTTTTTAGGATATGGGTAATATTTGTCACACAGAGGTGGGTAGAGACCTGTTCTCCCCTGCAGAGGAGGGCAGGACATGCTCCAACGGAGCAAAGCTCAGGGAACCAAGGGTCCATTTAGATGCCAGAAAGCACTTCCTGACAGTGAGGACCCCAAGGGTATGGAATGGGCTTCCACAGGAGGTGGTTGAGGCCTCATCGGTGGGGGTGTTCAAGGATAGGCTGGACATACGCATGGTGGGCATGTCGTGAGCAGACCCAGCTGGAGCTGGGGGGCAGACTAGATGGCCCGGGAGACTCCTTCTGTTTCTATTTCTATTCTGTGAATACAGAGGTAGACACAAATGTCATACATTTGGTAAATACTCTTGCTGATATCACAAGGCAAAATGGGAGTACTGAAACTGGCAAACATCCTTCCTGACTATGAATCAAAGATTCCCTGATGATGATAGGAAAATCTATCATCAAGGAGAATTGTCCTTGAGAATGATCAAGCCAAACAACTGACATCCACATAAAAGAGGCCAGAATGAAGATAATCATCCTTAACCTTTTGGTGGTAATAAGCACATTAAGTCTTCAATCACTCTTTGGCATTGTAAAATTGTGAGAATAAAAGCTACTCTTGAGTTGGTGAGAGGGGACAGAACAAATAACACCTCCTAGTAACAAAAGTAGATGAAGGTGAAGATTACACAGGTGAAGGTGTGGTTGCACATATGCCAAAAAAAAAGAAAAGCAGGGAGGATATCAAATTCAATTTTATAACCACCTTGAATTACTGAAAGCATGCAGGAATCTGCTGCAATTGAAGCTGAAACAGGAAGAAAAGCTGATAGTCTAAGGTGGGGTGACAGAAGAATGAATTAGAATGGGAAAATCAAAAGTTTGTTAGAAATGCCACCTTTCCTCTAATTTTGGTGGCACTAATAATGTAGGTATTGTAGTGTCAAGGTGGAAAGTCTGGGACTAAAAGAGTAGTTAAGAACATAAGAAAAAACATGCTGAATCTGACCATGTGCCCATCTAGTTCAGTATTCTATACACGCGATGGCAAACCAGCTGCCCATACAACTGCTCAAGCGGGATGGAATAAGTTCTCCACCTGCCCAAGCACCTCAACAGCAAATGCATATGCAGCCATCCTCTTGCTGGTTTGGCCAAGAGATGGATGGCAAGGCCAATAGCAGCAATGATATAAAATGGAGTTCAGTTGGTTTAAACTTGTTTTCCTTGCAGTATTTTCTGTTTCTTTACTGAAACAAAGGATTTGTGTTTTTTTGAAAGAAATAGGTCATTGCCATCAAAAGGTGGGTCTCCTGCCATCAACCAGCAGAATGGAACCAGGTATGACACTGTGGAGAGACAGCTCCCTTCATTGCCTTTGCAATGCAATCTATCTAATGCCTCACTGGGAGAATCTACTGTTTTGAGGCATTTCATCTCACACTGAAAGACTCTCACAAGACTTTGGCAATTCTTCACGAGGTTGTCACATAAAGAGCCAAAGTTTTCCTATATGAAAAGTTGGTACTCAGACATGGCTGCTTAGTAATCTGAAATTCTGAGGCTGAAATTCTGTGCTTTCAACAGGTATATTCAACACCCATCAAATTTCCTCATTTCCTTATTCACAGGAATGGATTGCAGCATTTTTCTCCTGCGATTTTTGCTTTGTAAGCCGCCCCGAGGCTTGTTGCAAAGGGGGCAGCATAAAAAAAATGCTTTAAATAAATAAATTAGATAATGACCATGTTGAAAACAAGGTCTTCAAGCTTTGGCACTGTTTGCTGAGAGCTGAGTGTTATATAAAACATTTGTTCAGCAAACTGTCCCATGTCCTTAGAGGGAGAAATAGGATCTCAAGTCCCTACCCACCTGATCAGGAGATGGCAGCAATGGAGCAGCTGAATAGTAGAAAGTAGTATCTGATTGACAGTCCTCTCCTACAGAATGTGGGAACTTGTCAGGTAATTCCCAGGCATCTGTTTCCATAAAAATATAGTGGGGGCAGGAGGGACTGTGTCTGTTTTCAGCACTATCTGGACAGAAGGAGTAGGTCTCAGCCACACAGAACAAGCTACCAGCCAAAGGAACATGCCTGAGTTCAGAAACCTGTTGCTTGTTCCTGCAGGATGGTACGCTGGAGACTTAACAGTGAAAGTATCTGTCCAACTCACAGTGCAAAGTCTGGTCCCATCACATTTGTCAGTTGTCTCAGCAGTATGATCTGTGCATGGAAACAACCATTCAAATGACCTGTTCCTATCATAGACAAGGGAACATAACCTGTCATGATACCAGCATTAATTGTATGTGAGCTGTTGGTATCAAGGGATAGTAGCCAACTGTTCTCCATGTTGACAACAGGCTGGTGAGGCAGCATAAAGCTCCCAAATCAACCCCAACTTGTGAAGTTCAATCTCTAATCTTGCCCTTCAAAGTTGAAGCCAGGATGGCCATTTCTGCAGAAGGCTTTGGTACCCCAATCAGTATTGGTAAATGGCAGCAGAGGTGACAGTCATGATGGGGGATATTGCTAACTACTTAAGAGGAACCATCTTAGAATTACATAGGTGTGGGAGCATTGCCACCAAACATTTTCAAGCTATGCAACTTTTCCCAATTAAACCCTGTGCAGGTGTATGTGTGATGTACAATGGCAATGGAGGAGGCATTTGTGTGATGTACAATGGCATCTGAGTTGTTCATAATTAAAATAACACAGAGTTCACATGTTATGACAACACACAATTCAATGACAATCCATAGTCATCTTGTAATCTCAGTTGCTACTACAAACAAACCAGGTTTATGTGTTTGTAGGAACCAATTAGTAGAAGACCTAGGATGCTACTGTAGAGTTGTATTTAGAGGAACACTAGGGACGGAATACTCTTCTCAGTTCCAAGAAATGATTCAGGTTTGGAAACATGCATTCTTTCTCAATGAGAAGAATAAAGTTGTGTTTTTACATGCCAAATAGCTTTATTTACCATGATTATGGGCATCTAAGGGCTGTGCTTATTCTGTAACTTTATAGTGCCAATTTCATACCGTGTTTTATGTTATAGGGTTTCTTATCAGTATGTATGTAACTTTGTCAACTGCAACTAAACTAGAACCTGAGTTGGCTTTCTTCTTCCTTTTCAGACTTTTTTAGACTGAAAAGCCTGAGGGCAATGACTGTCTTAGTGACCCTACTAAGTTAGTATGGGAGCTTTTTATTTTTTTGCAATTTTTATTTTTGAAATGAAAAGTGGGGTAAAATTCTTCGAAGAAAACCTATACTTAAACATATACATTATATGGAATGATGTTATCTAAAAGCTAAAACAGTCTTATGAAGGAATGCTTTGTCCCGGACCTAGTTATCTGGTGCAAATACCAGGTTAAGGGAGCTGTACTAATGTTACCCTTTAAACATTCTACCCTTTAGACATTCTGCCAATTACATAAACTATTAAAACTGGCCTCCAATAAAAGTCAAGTTCAAGACTGTATTATGACAGTAACACAACCATGGAAATCAAGAAATGCAAAAAAATAATAGGTGAGCAACTGTTGAGATTGAGCTATCAGTTAGGAAATCTCCAGTGCTTAACACTTTACTATGTATAAATGCAAGCATCTGCTATAACTTGGTGGCATTCAAATGTTTTAATTGTTTATGATGTTAGAATATTACTGTGGAAGTTAAAATACTTGTAAAAAAATGTTTTACTTTAAAGTGGTATATCAATGGGTAAAACAATTATGTAAAACAGTGATATTAAAGCAGAAATTTAGAAATATTAGACAAAAGTACATCACTTCAGAACAAACAAGAATTGAAGCAGGCAAAAGTGTTCCTCAATAAGCCAGAAACTTTCTCATGTTAAAAAAGACCAACAGTAAAAGCCATTTGAATTCTTTTCCAATTGTATTTTGCTCGTGAGAGCTCTTTTGTGTTTAAAATATCTGGAGCCATTTCTGCCTGCCTATACTTTAAAACTCACCACATGTTCAACACTTTCTGGCAGCTAATACAAAGAAAATACAAGGGGGAAAAGAGAATCAGTATGCTGCACATTGTGAAAGAGTTGCATTTTGCACACATAGTACAACATCGACAAAGCTACAGTGACAGTAAAGGTATAATTTGTGAATATCAATAAAATTAATGTGACTATATCTGAGTAACAGATGGTAGCATTAAAAATATTACAATACTTACCTCACATTTCAGCTAGTTACTTAAGTACTTTTCTAGACAGTTTACGCAGTACAACAAATGTAGGTACATTGCTTGTAAGTTCTTTCCATGAGTTTTTACTATTGAATACAATTCTAAGCCACAAGAGTTTAATGCAGACAAGAAGAGAGATCCTCTTAAGTATCATTAGAACTTTTTTCCTACTACTGCAACCTTCTGCACATGTGGATTCTGCATAATACTGAATAGGTATACTGAATATATACCCAGGCCTGCCATTGCTTGTATGTTCTGTTATACTACAGTAGGAAGAACATTCTATGGAGACCTTGAAGCAGCATTACACATGTGAAAGCTGTACAACTCCCTGAAGAAAGACTGTTCCTTTGGCATTCTTTTTACGTCGCCCTGAAAGCTTTATGGGAAAATGCTATTCCTTCCCTACCGATCACTGTGTGGGTATTATTCATAGGGTAGTTGTAAGTTGGAGATGAAGTGGCAACATACATCAACAACTGTGATCTAGAGAGCTACATGAAACAATGTAGCATGAATGCAGCCACTGGGCTGCGGCACCAGTGCACCAACAATTCTAAGCAACTGAAATGTATCCCATGCCCAGCATTTGTTTTATCTCATATCACTTTGGGTATCACAAATGGTAAAAGCAACAAAAGGATAGTATCTTTGCAGCTTCTAAATACTTAGAATACTTCCAGCTTGATTTACAAAGAAAGGAAATTTCTCCCCAAGAGAACAGTTAGATTTTTTTTATAGCTGCCAGTACAGATACATTTTGCTGGCAAGTGAATGAAACCATCATTTTCTTTTGCCTTTTTACAAGATCAAAGCAAACAGCTTAAGTGGTTTGATTTGCTTGTTACATTTAAGAACTAAGAATAGTGTAAATCACATAGCAAATAATTGGCAGATTCAACATCACTGGCAGACTCAAGATGGTGGAATCAGCATAGGTATTATTTTGTTTCAGTAATACGTACTTAGTTTCATCCATTACTTCTACTTCTGTAGGGGCTGTGATAGGTGCATTTGAACGCCCAGCAGTAGGATCATCAGTGTTGAGTTCTCCATTTGTTGAACTTACAACCTGCAATTACAAGCATTTCTAAAAATTAATATAATGGTAATTGCTTCATCTGCTGCTGCTTTTCACAGCATTCCAAAGAATTGTGATTTATGTATTTATATAGTCTTTCATATCTTATACCTATTTTTAGGTAAGCCGCATGCATTTATATTGCAAATCTTTCTCCAACTGCTTGTAGAAAAAGCCATCAACAATAAAAGTGACTGGTTAAAAGGGTGGGGAGTGGATTTAAGCTACAATCCTAAAATACATTTTCTTATGTACAAATCTCACTAAGCTCAACAGAACTTACCTCTCAGTAGATATGCATACCACATTTAGGACTAAACCAGAGTTTGTCATAAACAGTAATGGATGGTATTATTAAGAAAGAACTATCTTGCCATATGCAAAATTAGCCTCCATGCATAGCGTATCTCACTTGTAGAAAGTAGAATTACTCACTTTTCCTAGATTAGAATATTAAGTCACAAAGTAACTTAAATAAGAGTCTAATCATTCATACAGGAAATGATGTAGCTCAATTGCTTTTTTGCTTATTAATTTCATTTCTATACTGTGCAAGCCAAAGTTTCTGGGTGGTTCACAAAATTATGGGAGGTTCACAACTTGAGTTCATGTTTGTGTGGTTCAGCAATATGGCACAATAATGAATGACGCAGAATTACTATAAAGCAAAGTATGGCTGAAACTTCACCATTCTACTACAAAGGAGCAGGACATAGTTGTCTGAATGTTCAATGCAGGTTGGTATTATGAATATCCTGTTATAAGAAGTTTCATTAAGTCACATGACATGGGGAACTCTAAGGAGGAAATCAAAATTAAGGGCCAAGGATTCATTTTCCCTTAAGTCTTTTGTGTCCCAAAGTAAAGGCTTGCTCCAGTAGAGGAAAGGTGTTATTCCTTCTTCCACATTAAAAACTTTGCTTGCTATAGGCCTCACGAAAACGATCTCCAAGCGAGCAAGCCGCTGCCTCACCACACGCGCCTGCCTTGCACACCCCACCCCCTTGCCGGCCTGCACCCACCACTGGCACCTTTCAAGTGGCCCCCTGTTGAAAAAGTGTGAGGACCCCTGTTCTAAGAGAAGAGAAACAAAGATTTTTAATGTGGTATAAAACCTTTGTCAATGTACTTGTCAGCAAATTCCCATAAACTAGAGAACATCAACAAACTGGTCCCTGTAAACAGACCAAGATCTAAAATATTATTTAGAAAAATGGTTAGGAAGTTATAAAGTGAAATCAGCCTCCTACAATAAGCAGCAAGACTTCTGGGTAATTAGCTGAAGGAAAAACAAAACACAATTTAAAGAGACCTTTCAGAAGTGTTTCAAGTTGCTGCAATGCAAGTACTCTGAAAGAGACAATTCATCTGTGCTATTCAGCTGACATTTTCAGGAACTAAGACAAACTTTTATAGAACAAGAATGTAGGAGGCTAGCAAGTGAAACACAACAATGAACAATATATTGTTTCCAAAAAGAAAAATGGTCAGAAAAAATTTGAATGTCTCACATTAAGTAAAACACTCTTAGACAACCAGTCAATTTTTATTCAAAACTTGTATCAGTCATTTTCTTTAATGGAAGCCAAAGATGAAGGCTAAAAAGCATCATCCAAATGCTTGAAAGACTTTTTAAAAATCCATAATCACTACTAACTGATTGCTTTCATTTCCATACTATTTGAAAATATAAACAAATGAGAACAGGAAACTATTTTGATTCTATTATGTCAAGGTTAAAACTTTCTATTTTAAGTTACTTTCAGTTGCTTTGTGACTGTCAAACCTAATGAAACAATTTAATACCCTCAATTCTACAAAAGCATCCTTGAAGAAACAATCACACTACCCATCCATTTCTAAGTGCATATGCAAGGAACAAATCCAGTTTTGCTCACATTAAGCTCCTCTTTTTTCATCATCACTGAGCATCTTTAGTATCTCCGTGTGCAAGAACAGTTATACACTCTGTGTACAAGTTCCATGCTCAACTCTGCAAGTGCAGTATATAACAAAGAGCGTTGTGATACTGCTGTTGCAGGTATAGTTCTACCTTCTACTCACAATGTAAAGGTGAAACCTAGCTCATCCGTCTGATGCCAGTGTATTCCTCTGGCTCTCCTATATCATCTTCATCTTTGCTTAGCAGGAACCAGTGCTGATGTGCCAATAAACTAAACTCATGATTCATCTGTACAGTGTTATTAGATTGGTTACCAGACTCTTATATAACATCCTAAGACTCATGTGCAAAATGCAGCAATTACCTTAAAAGGGCAATTAATATCAAGTGAGACAAAACTATGCAGCTATGCCTTATTAGCTGGAACAGGATGGCATTTCAGTTGCAAATGGTACAAGCTGAAGCAAGTTGAGCCAGCAGCACCAGATCAGTCCACATTGGTAGTGCTTCAAACAACACTGAAGACTAAGTAATTAACAGTAAAACTTCAGGCAGCCGTACCAATTCAACTGAAGTTGTTTTTGTTATTTACAGGACATTTGATATGTGAGATCAGCATGATTTGAATGCTTTTGTTTTAACATTGTGAATTACAACAACTATTAATAATCTTGTTGTCCAGTTCTGGATATGTATTCCCCCACATCCCCCCTACCACACCCTGCTGCCAAGAAAATGAAATGCTGCATTAATGGATGAGAATCAAACCTCAAGCCTAAGAGGAATGCTTTGGTTGTATGAAGGTGAGTTTATTCAGCTTTGGATAAGCTGGGATCAGATCATATGCTTCCCCATTCCAGAACATTTGATAATTGCTAAACATCTACTGCCTTAACAAAATTATACATGTGTCTCTGTGTGAGCAATTTACTCCTAATCTAGAGCACAGTTTCAAAAGCGTATGTCCTAATAGTAGTGATCTTCTGGACTAATTCACTAAATGCTTGATAGGTTATGTTGATCCAAGTACATGTTTTGTACAGGTATGGTATAACACAACTGCCAAATAAAAGACAGCTCATGACTCTTCTGCAAAGAAGTCACCTGAGAAAAATACGTGAAATATGTTTTTAAAAGTCGGGACATCAAATTGCAATTTAATAAATTTCTGCTATCAAAATTAATTAGACCAGTTTGAAATGCCCTGAAATGCAAAGCATCAGGAATCAAGATAAATTAAGGAAATTATAACACATCCAAAATGCTGAAGAGAAATGTGTGTGCATGCATGCATACACAGAGACCAAAGAAGAGAATAATACACCAACATATTGCACTGGATGGACACATTTCCATGATTCTGAGATAGTCGTCATTCATAGTACAACCCTAACTAGGATAATTTTGATGCTAATTGATCAAAATATTTGGATCACTTTGATTTCTTGGTTATCTCAGGTCTCATGGCTAGAACATAAGAACCATGGATGGCCACATAGGACCATTTCCAGAAACACATAAAATCCCAACTAATCTTTGAGGATAACACATTTCACAGATCTCTATTACTGTGGCACTTTTGATAGGAAGAGCTGCCAGAGGATACTGTAACCACTTTAAGAATAGTAACTTGTAATTTGTTCTTTTTCAGTCAAAGGTGTCCATGGAGGTGTCAGACATCAGTGCCAGAGCCACCTTCCTTCCTTTAGTCACTATGACAACACCAGCTTAGCTTCTGATCTTTGTCACAGAATAAGTAGATACCATTTAACAGTTTGCTGAATAACAACAATGAAGTATTGACAAATATTGCAAATAAAATTGCTGATACAATTAAAATTGCTGATTTCATTTTGTATACTGTGAGGAGTATGGATGTTCTCTCACTTCAGAAAAAAAAATAAAAAGGGTGGGATATGTTCATTAAGATCAGTGGTGCCCAACAAGAAAAAATCAAGCTACATTTTAAAGTTACTTGCAACATGGTTGCTGGAATACATTAAAAAATGTTATCAGATGAAGCAAGATTTAACCCTCTCCTTTCCTTACAAAATGCCACAAACTAGAATGAATATTAGTATTATTTCTATGCCTTGAATCATTTTCAATAGTGTTCCAGTCACAGATTAAAATCACCCACTATAGAAATGCCTTCTATTTCTATTGTTGTCTAATACTGGAGACAGTATTGATTCCAGGCAATCTTGACAACAGTTAGCAAAATATATCAGAAGGTGTCCTCTATTGGTCTGGGTGATTTGCAGTTGTCCCATAGCAGTGACAAGGGAAAAGGTAGACTTTCAATTCGCTTTGGATAGGTGTTAGTGAAACAAAGTTAGAATAGAACGCCAACAAGGCAGAGGGAAAGAGCACCAATTATTCTGTGCCTCATGTGGTTACTAGGAAAGATGCAGGAGTCTATTAGGGCCTTATTTTAGATGAAAGAAAGAGAAAGCTAAGGGCCAAGGATGTACCACCTACAGTCATTCAATACTCCTAAGGGACTGGGGGATCCATTTAAAGGGCTAGAGGATGCTAAGTTAACTTTTGTATGTTTCCTACATCTTGTCACTCAATCTGTTATTTACTTTGAGAAGATTAAGCAAAGACTGCTCAGTTTCCTTACTATTATCTCATCCTGTCTGCAGAAAAGAACTTTTTAACTCAAGGGTGACATGCCCTCATCAAAAACATTCTGTTCAAACAGTGCATGGGACCAAAGCCACATGCATACACCAATCACACATCTATCACACATTTCCTCCATTCAGACACATAATATGTCTGCTCCAAAGCAATTAGGCATAGAAAATCCTCCCACTGGAGTTTTTTTTTTTTCTGATCAGGCCTTTTTCAGGACGGATTGCTGCACTAGGAATGGGAATTTTCATAGGAGATGTAGTGTGGGCTTTGCTCATGCTTAACTGCTGATTTGTCCAGGAGGGCAGTCATGGGCTAGCTGAGGAGACCTGGTGGGGTTGCCAGCTGCCAACCCTATGGTATAGAATTTTCCCTTTACAGGATTTATCACATGACTCTGAGGTAGATAATAAGCTAACTTGTTTCTTCATTGTGCAAGCAGAAATGCTTTTATACACATTTACTCTCATTTCATGTCTTATACTTCTATAGTGTCTAATATCCAAAATTCTCCAGGCGGAATACAAGATTTAAAAACTTTAAAATGCACTGCTGTGATTAACTGATAATTCTCCAAGTAGAAAATAGGCTTGAACTCATATATCTCTCCATTAGCACCCAAACTAAAGCATGGAGAAGAATCCTGCACATAAAACTTGTGAAAATTAGAATGTTACTGCATTACACATGTACCATCTAAGGGGTCACTGGTGCTTATGGAACTTGCAGTACACACACGGTAGATGCAGTCCAGACATTTTCTTCCTGACTGTTTAAAAAGGACTAGCAAATGAAAGCAGGAAAGCACTGATCATCTGTTTTGGACAGTAGGACTTCAGCACAAGCAAAATATATTAGTATTATACAAGGTGCTTTCTTTTACTAAGAACAAAATCACCACAGTCAGAATTCATTTGGAAGTACCAAATGGTAGTACCAATGATATTACCATTACTAGTTCAACTAACAAGGGATAATTTCAGAACTTAAGATTAATCCAGTCAACCAAAGCAACTTAAGTTTATTCAAAAGACAGATGGTTCTACAAGCATCTGTAGAAAGCAAGTCAAATTTTGTATGAATTTTCAGTAAGGCTATTATAAATCAAAGCAAAGGGGTTAAGGACATACTTATGAAATAGAATTTTTAACAGAAATCTAGACACATGCCATGTGTGTCCAAGGCAAGATGCAGAAAGAGTCATGCAAAGAACAGAAAATACCTGTACCGAGCCACCATGTCTGTCAGCTGCTAGGTGAGCTCTCAAGTGATGGGGATTGGCCTGATGGGGGTCCCAAGCTGCCCTGTGGTCTGTCGACTGCAAGTTATATAATGCATTAAACATGCATGGAAAAAGAGGAATAAGAACCCAGAACATATTAAACATGTCATGCGACTAAAAAACTGCTTTCTACATAAACATCACAAGAACACATGGGCAACTATGCACATGTAGCAATACGTGTACATATGTATTTGAATATAGAAAGACATGTTTAAAGTTTAAGACTAAAAGATTAATTGGAATAATTCAACAGAAACTTCAAACATGAAACTCCATGCAGAATGGAAAAATTTGGGGGCAGCCATTATGGGTGGGACAAACTTTTTTTGTAAACGATATCAATGTAATATCACAGATGGGTACAAACAAAGGAAGAGCTTCAGTATTTCCATGGAAAGCACACTTCACTAACACAGACTGTCACTGTAACGTCTACTTTTTTAATCCTGTCAAAACTCCTTTTAAAAAGTAGCAATGGACTTCTTATTTTTACCAAGTAACAATCCTATCATTGACAATAGCATACATTTCGTATATAAGTGTATGAAGAAAACAACGTTTTTGGAACAAAAGCATTTATACATTATTTTTTAATGTGTGATGACTAGTCCAAGGATGAGGGACTTGCAGCAATCCAGATGTTGTCAGATACAAATTCCCATCAGCCCCAATATGGCAACAGTGAGAGATGATGGAACCTTCAGACCAACATCATACAGAAAGCCAGTTTCTTCATCCTTGCTGTAATGTTTCCCCCTGATTTTTGGGCCAGGTTGTACAACTAACTCATTTTAAAAGCATAAGAGCCCTAGTTTTACCATTAACTATTTATGTTTCACCCGAACCTTTTGAGCATCTTGGTCTTGTAAAGGACTATCTGTCCTACTGAGGCTAAGTAAACTATAGATGCAGCCAGGCCAGCAACTATCACTAGCTTGCTCTTAAAAATACTAAAAATGGGTACCGCCAATATTTGGTGTTCTTATTTTTTCCCAGATATTGTTGTAAAGCCAACCAATATAGTTCAACTCAAATGGCTGAAACACCTCAGGAAATTTAAAATATAAAATGAAATATAGAGCATCTCACAGACTAAAGGAAAGCATCAAATCAGTCATTTCAAGAACATGTTTAAAATTGTACTATTGGACTAAAATTGTACTTACTATAGACTAAAATTGCACTACATACTGGAAGTTAAGAACTTTTTGGTCATATCAACATGGAAAATTCTCACATGAGTGATTGCAGCGCTTAAACAATTTTCATGCATTTCTGTTTGCTTTCCACAGTGCTTTTACTAAGACAAGACACATCATTATGGGGAAAAACAAAGAAGTATAGGAGTTCTAAAACACTGCTGACATCTGAAGCTGAAGCTAGACCATAATTCTAAGTTAAGTGTACTTAACCAAAAAACTAGATTCTAGAAGAAGGAAATAAAACAATGCACACCCTCTTCAAGAGTGAACTCTCCACTTCTTAAACCATAGTTAATCAGAGCACTAACCAGAAGTACCTCTAAATCAGATTTGAAATCTGTATTTGAGACTGGATTCAAATCCTGCGTTAGCAGAAAAACTGGTTGTGTTTATGGCTAATGTCAGTGTCAATATAATGTTTATCCATGGTGATGGGGTGTGGGGGGGGGGGCGTTATTCTGAAGAAGAGAGAGGCTGGGGTGGAAAAGGATAATCTCGCACCCATGCCTATTGCTTTTTCAGTGCCTCTGTATTCTGCACTGACAGCAGAAAATTTAACATTGTAATGAAGACTGAAATATTGATGCTTGAATTAAAACACACACACATGCACACAGTTTAAACTTATTTAAAGCCTAAAGTCAAAACACCCATACTGATGTTATACGCCAGAAGCAAATGAGTACACTTCTGTTGTACTGGCAGCATAAGGCAGAACAAAATTATTACAGAAGAACGCTGGCACACATTATTGGTGGATAACGTACCTGATTTTTGGACTGTTGCATTTTATCTCTGTGTGGATGTGCTTCTCTGTTGGAAGTTATCGCAGGATCTGAATGGATTGAGCCCACTGGAGTAGGCTATAAACAATACAATAGTCAGAATACTGGTAAAATTGTAGATTTCAAAGATATTAACATTTAAAAAACTTATTGAAGTAATTTCAATTCCCATGGCCTAACATAGGCTGGCCACACTCATCTAGAAAACTTTTTAAGTAGTATTACCACCACAAAGATTATTCACATATATTACTAGATTAGTGTATGTGAACAGGAAGGCTAGTAATTTTGTGGACCTATCTATAAGATAGAGTTTAACTTAGCTATATTTTAAACAATTATTTTCAAAGACACTTGAAGGGGATCTCCTAACATTTAACCCAGAAGCAGACTTTCATTAAACAGTTTTAACTTACTGATTGGGTTCACATGACACAACAACCTACAGTTATTTGTTATGGTTGGTTGTTTTCTATGTCATGCAAACCCTGTTGTGGTGAGCAGTCATTATCAACTTTGTTGAATGACAACTATCTGTTCTAGGGTTTGTTTGTAGCATGGGCACTTACATGCAAACCTGCCTTGTGACAAGAGACAAAACACTCCATTTCATTGTGAAAGTTACTTCAAGAGTTGGTTCACTAAAGGCATGATCCAATGGACACCAGAACGAGTCTAAAAAGTGATGGGAGAAGCTGGAGTCCCAGCACCTAATGTGCTCTGTAGTAAGACCTGGGACTCTGAATTCAGAGTGCAGTCAGTCTACTCCATAGTATGAACAGAAAAAACAGTGTCAGCTATGGCACCAAGGTTGGAAGAGAGGGGAGGGGTCAAGTTCTGCCAGAATTTGAAATACTCTGGTTGCATCTCCACCTCGCCTTCTTACATTCCAGGGCAAAAGACTTAGATAGCCCAAATCAGTCATCTAAGTATTTTACAAGGCAAGAAAAGCACAATGATGACCTTCACATTCATGCTTCTTCTACCCTTCACGGAATGCCTATAATTCTTGGAGTTTGTGGTATTATGGGCATCCTCACTGGATTGTGCAGTTAAAAAGGAGAGCTGACAATTCTGCACAATGCAGCAAGTAGCATCTGAGAGCTCACACATTACATTTGCTATTTAAATTATCTAAACCTTGTGAACTGAATGTACATTTCATTGGTGCTTATGAATATACAAGTTCATTATTAAATGATCGCATTATTAAGCTTCCATATTCTCAAATGCAGGGAATGTAAACAGAAAGATTCAGTGCTACTTTCTGTAAACAAGATCCTATTAGCTATTTTGATTAAACTATAGAAACAAAACAGAGTGCTACATGCAATGGAATGTAAAACAGGATATAGCTTATATATAGTCCTTATAGTTCTCTACAGCTGTTATCCTCAAAGTGTAAACAGTGTCTATCTTCCACATCCTCAGAATACAAGACAAATATAACTCCAGTACCCTCTCCAAAGAGAAAAAAGGGCCTATAAGGTTCCAGAAATGATGGAAAAGTAGTGAAGTTAAAATGGAGTGTCTTCTATAACTCCGTCTACACTGCTGTATTTTCTATATTGCAGACAAGTGGTCTCTATGCCAACATCCAGATTCTGTCACGAATTGCAGGAATATTTAAGTAGTATTTCAATGAACTTACCAGCTGTTTACCAATCCAGTCATACTCATAATCAAACAAATAGCCCTTTCGATCAAACAGGTCTGTAAAGAGCTTTCTTAAGTAGTCATAGTCTGGTTTTTCAAAAAAATCTAGTCTTCTCACATAACGAAGATATGTAGCCATTTCCTCTACATGAATAAATATAAGTTTATTATTTTAACTGTTAGAAAACATATGAGAAGTTATGTGCATCCTTAGTCTTCATAGTAAAAGAAAGAAACTTTACAAGATGTAATTTGCAGCACAAGTAAAGATTAAACCCTGACGATTCATATTTAAACATAGACTCTAAGGATAAATTTTCAGCAATTAACCCTTGTCACATTTGTTTATTCTTAATCTTACTTTCAATGAGAGAGAGCGAGAATAAGCACACTAACTCCACCCAACCCTGTTGCCATTCTCAGTACCTGCCTCGCGTTCAAGTTGAACTTCTAGGGCAGGAAAGTTCTTCTATAGAGGCTCCCCTTAGTATGTAGAACTGAGGGCAACTGTATAATCTTTACCGTACTGACTATTGATCTTCCTTGTTGTGATGTGTCTCATTTTTTAAACTCTTGGAGAGTTTTCATTTACATCATCATCTTCATGGCACTAAACTAAAATCCAACTTCAAGTGATAAATATTCTTGATTTACATATTCTGTCTTAAAGAGATAGGAGCAGTTGAACCCTATCCAAATGAGTTTGGTATGCATTTGTGGTTTCCAACAGTCTGTCCTTTTTCTTGTGAGCCTCTGTTGTATAATCCATTTTGTATATAGGAATATTGTTCCAGGGAAAAATTTGTTGAAACAGAGTTTCATGGAGGCATAGTATGCTCCTTCATTCCTTTGAACATGTTCAGGGAGATGTATCATTTTGTTTGCACACATCCATAATATATACGGGTTAGGATTTCTATACCATGCCATGAACATCACAACACAAACCACAACAAGAAAAAAAATTAAATGCATTTTAATTACTTCCATTCTATAAAATCAAAGCATTATAATCCATACAACTGTATGAAGTAATAGAGGCTGAAGTCATAAACAGTAGACTCTCACTTAATTGGCACCCATGGGGATTGCTAGATGCAGGATAAATGTAGTTTCTGGTTGCTTGAGAGTTACTATTAAAAATAGGCCTAATTAATACTATACTCCATACCATTCCATACCATACCATAAACTCTGTATTGACTTGATATTAATACTGAAATACAGTAAGTAAAAGCAAATTAAGACACATGAAGACTTCTGTCTTCTGAGACTCAGCCTTAATGTCATAGATGGTTGATTAACTGACATTAAATTCCTGCATTAGCACTCCATGACGCTCACCTTTCCCAGTCCTTTTGTGTATTTCCATCTTCTGCTTGAGGGTAAGCACACTTACCTGGGACCTGTTTTGGCATGCTTCAGAGAGAGCACAAAATTTGAACAACAGGTCCCAATGACTGGTATGTTCACACATGGCAATTTGGCAGGAGTGGGAGACAAACATGGGCTTAGTCACAGCGCAGTGCATGGCGTGTGGGCATGGCACACCAAGTTTAAGCTTATATTTCCGCTGGAAACTGATTTTATTTTAATTTCTATTTAAAGTATTATTTCTTTGATTTTTTGCCACTTGCCTGAGAGTGCCAGTTGCTTGAGTTCTGGTTAACCGGGAGTCTACTGTACTTGTCAAAAATGTTATTCTGCTATTATGTTTATTTAGAGCTTTTGCACTAATTCACCCATTGTCAAACTTAACACAGATTTTAAATTTCCAGACTCTGAACTTATTGCACTCACCTATCAACATAAATGGAAAGTTCATGCAACAGAGGGATATACCCTTATTCTAGCTTCCTTTCTACTTCCTTATTCCCAAGCACTTTATGCTCTACTCCTCCCTTTCCACAAGTTTTCTTATCTTACATACTGTTCCTGTGGTAGAGGTCATTATTTATTTTATTTCTATACTGCTCATAACCAAAGCACTCTGGACAGTTTACAATATAGGTTTTGGCGTAACACTGGTGATGTGAACAAAACCTTTGCTTCTTATGAGTCTCTCTGATTAATTTACTATATAGCAACTACAAGCCACCTACTGCATAATCAGCTTCATATGAGCTGTTACAAGCAACTAAGCTCAACATAAAACATAAGACATTTCTCTAGGCAACTTAACACAGTGTGGGAGGATCACCAACATAAGATTACTATAACAAGTACGAAAAATCATGGGTATAATTTAGTGATCAGTTGCCAAGGTAATTTCAATATAAATTGCTCTTTGACTGTTGAACTGATTACCTGGGAAGTTTTCACACAGTACTTCTATGGGAGTTGCTCTCTTTGTGTCTCCAATTTTCTGATACCGTTCTTTCAATGTATCTGCCTAAGTTTGGAAAGACAGGAAATTGACTGCTTCAAAAACATTTTATGAAACTAGGACAATAGCTGGAGAACTAAGACAAATTTAAATAAGTAACACACTACCTTTAAGCCCTGCCATGGAAGGCTGCCTCGTAAAAAATACATGAACATATGACCTAAAGCTTCCAAATCATCTCTTCTACTTTGTTCTGAAAAAATAAATTGAAAACATTAAGATTAACAAGAAATTCTGAAGCAGTACATAAGACATCAATGATACAAATAAACTATACAATTGTTTACAAAGTGTATTCTATATTTTGTAGCTTTTCATTCAAGTACAGTTTCAATATACTGAAGTATATATATTCAAGTATACTAAAAATATTTAGTACAGAAAAGGCTATTCTTTACCATAAAATCTGTTTTTGAAATCCTTAAGTAGTATCTGGAAATTACTTAAGTCATGTATTTAATTAGAAAGCATTTACTTAGAAAGGAACCTCACTGTGTCACTGCCTTGGCATAGCAACAAACAAGGTACTACACTTGAGGTTTAAAAACACTAAAATTGTTTTCAAAAAGTACAGGACACTGAATTTTTTCTTAGTCACTGAATTCCTGAAAGCAAGAAAGGAACTGCCTTACTTATCACTTTTACAAACCTGTCTTTCTCTTCTTGATTTAGGAGAAGTGGGGTGAGTTGCAAAGAGCTGTCCATAGATTCCTTTCAGTTCAGGAGTAAAAGGAATACAATAGCTAGTACACTGCAACTTTAGTTTTTTTCTATGTTTGACAGACATGGCTGCATTCTGAAGAAGCATACCATAGTCTCTTTGAAGAGGCAGAGAACAGCCTCACTCACTGGCCTATGAAATTTGCTTGTGCCTTACAGCTAGGTCTAGAGCTAGGAAAGGAGAAAACGTGGTTGTTACCTATGGTAACTCTGTCTTGGAAGAAAGTGTTTCTAGTTGGGGTACCCAATTCATACCTATTCCTGCACCCATTATATCCTCTTTCTCCAAAAATTACTGCTTCTATGGGAGTTTGGACCCTCTGGATGCAATACAGCACAGACAATACAGCAATTAAAATCAACTGTGTTCACTTATACAGGCCAAGGAGCTTTCTGTCAAGGTAAATTCACTGCTGAATTCAACCCCAGCACACTATTCTGTTGGGTTCTTCTGAAATAGAGACTCACTCTCCTTGCATGAAGGGAGAAAAGCAAACAACACTGTTCATAATACAACCCTTCCAACAGTGGGACAGAACGCTTTCAACCATATGAGTCTGCTTGTTAACTTGAATCTTCAGAAGCCCTGCTTTATGTGTCCCCTACCTTCAGAGATTAGGCAGGCAAGAAATGGAGACAGATTATTTCCTATGTAACAACTCAATCTCCAGAACATATTCCCTAGAGACATCTGTATAGCACATAAAGCTTATCTCAGATAAGAACCCTATTCTCAAAGGATCTTTACTGCTGCTTGTTTTTATATGCTTTTGATTACAATTGTTTATTTGGGCTATTTGTTAAACTTTCTTATACTGAATTTTGGAGTATGGGCCCATATGGGTAAAGGCAGGATATATGTATTCAGAATTAATAAAGGAAATTGTATACAAGGTACATAGCAGATGCTATCAGTATTTGGATACACAAAGCTTCACAAAAACAACAGTTGCTGCCCTCCATGAATCTTTTGTTCTGTGCTGCAAAGAGAAGGAATGAGAGAGGAAAAGATACTACCCAAAAGAGAAAAGCATATAATGCAATGGTAAGACAGGAAGGAAAAAGTCAAGCATATGTGAATCTGGATTTTATGTGCACTATTTGTTTTGCGTTTATTTATTGTATGTAAGCTGTCCCGAGGCTCATGTGAATGGGACGGCGTACAAAAATTCTAAATAAATAAATATGTGACAAGTAAGGGACACTGATACACTAACCATTTTTAAAGATATGTAGACGGGCAAAGACAACACATGATTCTGCTTCTGTGGGACTATTCTTGCACTTCATCATATAGCCATCTAATGTCAATAGTCCTACAGAAGGTAATATCAAATGCTAACTGCTGATTGAACAAGTAATTTTTCTATTATTTTTACTTTAAAGGTATGGGCTTTAAGATATCTATTATATGTTTCTGATTGTTGTGGGCTGCTTCAACAGTAGCAAGAGATAAATCAGCTAAATAGCATTTGGTCCTTCACACCAGGTTTAGTGGCCGTATTTTATTTAAGAGAGTTACAAGTATACAAATATTAACCTGCTACATGATCCCATCCTTCAGACAGACTCAAAAAGACATTTTTTAAACTATCATAGTTAAAGAAATGGGGGAGGGCAGGGAGAAGCAAAGAGAATACTAAAGAGGTAACACAGAGACAAGTGATGAGGCTAATTCAAAGTAAGGATTTTTTTCCAGATTAATTCACATACTTTTCATACATGAGAAAACCTCCATGTTGGAAAGAAGCCCATGTCTATCAGCTCTACTTTGACATTTGACACATGCTTGCTAAATGAGGCTTCAGTATGCAAATAGCTGGAGTCCTCTCTTATATTATACATACTTGAAATTGTCTGTGAAGCTGAAATTAGTTGATACACTTTTAACTTTCTAAATTAAATCCTATTTAGGCATCTTTTCTAATCATATATCAATGCAGCAATGTGCACAATCTTTTAAAAACAGGTTTTTTTCTGATGCCATTCAACAAGTTTTCATAGCTGTTCATGAAGTAATTATTCTACTGTGAAAGCTCTATTTCCCCTTCCTTCCAACAGATTATGCCTATAGACATTTTGTAGCTATCCTGCAGTTTTGAGGACTAAATAACCTGGGCCGAATTTACAGAAGTAGGAATTATCAGGATTCATTAGTCCTTTAATGTGACAAGATGGAAGAACCAACACAGCAATACTAAAGGTAATAACTGCAGTAAAGGTGGTACAATAATTTGGTCTGGTCGCTGATGCCAGTCACACTATGGCACAAGAGATTAAACTCAGCTGTGCAATGCTACAGAATGAAAAGATACTATGCAAGGTATTTTTTAAAGGTTTTCACAGTTAAGAATTTCAAAGCCAAGAACTCACTAGGATAAGTATTCTGGAACTTAAGAGGCAACCCTCACTGAGCATGCTTCAAACTACATGCATGTTTTCAATACAAAATCCAAGTCATCAAAAGTAATTATGACTATGCAACAAACTGGTCACAGAAATCAAATGAGCCTGCTACATTGTGTTCTAAAAAAAATACATACCTTTTCCTAAATGTGTATTTATACTCATGTATCTAGCAGTTCCTGTAAGGCTTTTATGTTCTCGGTATGGTATGTGCTTCTTTGTCTCTGGATCTATATATTCTTTTGCCAAACCAAAATCTATAATATGAATAATTTGTTGAGTTTTATTTCCTGGTCGTCCTATTAAGAAGTTTTCAGGTTTTACATCTCTGTATATTAAGTTCTTTGAATGAACATACTCCATTCGAGAAATCTGTTAGAGTAAAAGAACTGTTTGTTAGCTTTTTAAAAAACAGAACAAGTAATAGAGTAAACAAAAGCAAGCATTGCTATATCTTGTCTTTCCTGAAGGAACATGATTTCTCATATGCCAAATTAAACATGGACACTGTCTTACTAAATTTTGCTTTAGTTAGGTAAACAGGAGTAGGAGGTCTTTTATGGCCAGTGAGTAAACATGGCAAGGTTTTTCAAATACTCTGTTAAAATAAGAAGTGATTGGCATCCTGTGCCACCACTGAATTTTTCATCTTGAGAGGGCACTTTTAAAAACCTTGAAAAATCTGACCAAGATAAGAATGCTTGTTTGCTTCTCACAGAAAAACCTGAAATATTTAGTAATAAAGAATGCATTTGCCAAGACAATTTACATAAAATAAAAATACAGCTTGCTTCTTTCTAGTACCAGCACTGCCTTGCAATTTAAGTGACTTCTGGATAATAAAAAGAGCTGTGAATATTACATAAGTATTCACCTGTATCACTTCAGTGTAGAAGTAGGTACTAGGTACTGAACTCAGCATCCTTAACACTATGATCTGTTTTGAAACATTTGGCTGGTGATTCTATAAAAGCTGACCTGGCTCGGACAGCATGACAAGCCACCATGGTTTGTTATCTTAGGTGGTTGTGTCATGAAAGCACAGCCCAGGTAATTCAGAGATTTCCTTCCCCAGATCCTCACCCTGAGCACCCAAGGGCTGTTGCTGTGTTGCCTAAATCCAGATGACAGAACCTACCATGAATGAACTCTAACCAGCAGCAAGTCTCTGGCCAAGAGCAGCAAAAATCCCGTGCCCCTCTTGACAAGTGGCTGCTGGATTAGCCCCACAGACACCAGCTTTGAAAAGTGCCCATGAGGTACACAGGGGCTGCTGCCAGAAGCTTCCCCTCAACAACACAGAACAATGATTTGCCAGTGGCTCAAGAGTAGACCTTACAATCTGGTGGCAAGGAGGATCAGCATCTCTTCCTCTTGCCAAAGGAGCATGTGTCCATCTCAGCTCAAGAGCTGACCTATGACGCTTCCCCTGTGGATCTACTCAGTGGTACAGGGCAGAAACATGGAGAAGATCAGGGACCCTATTGTCTCCTACTTACTGCCCAAGAGTAGGATGTGAGTCAAAGATCCACTCACCAGCACTGTTCTGCGCCTAAGGTGGCACCACTAAATAGATCGGGCACCCTTAAATCTGTTGAAAAAGAAGGTGGTGGGGTGCTCAATCAGCTGCTGCATCTTCCCCATTAAGACGGAGACAAAGAAGCTTTTTTAAATTCTTCTTTAAATGATCCCATTACATGTAAAGCATGAGTCTGTTTGTGCATCAAGGAATCTGTGACAGCTTAAGCAAACTGAAATCAGCTTGTAATCTCAGCTGTTAAGGGGCCTTGAAAAAAAGGTCAATCATCTGTCAAGTTCAACTTCATTAATCTGCCCACTATGGCTTATTACAACAGTGGGCTGTCGTATTGTTAAAACTCAGCCATTGTCTCTCATAAATTCCCTTCTCCTATGCAGCTACTCCAACACTTCCTGAGTGTGCTCCAATTTTCCCGATTTTCAAGGAAGCATGGGAGAATCAGAGAATATGTCATATTCTGCTCATGAGATCTCAGGATACAAATCTTTGTCTTCCAGCATTTAATTATGAACTGAAGAATAATCCTTTGATTCTGCATTTGCTCAAACACTATTCAAGCCAATACTGTAGAAGGAATATTTAAGAAAAAATGAAGAAACAATACTTACCAATTGTATGGCTATCATAAGAACAGTTTTCAGAGAAAATGTCCTATCACACAAGTCAAACAAGTCTTCCAAACTAGGTCCCAGTAGTTCTAGCACCATGGCATTATACTTGCCACAAGGGCCAAAATAGTAAACCTGAGGTATTCCATCTGAGAAAGTGAAAAGTAACATTGATTTTGACAACTGCAATATCATTGGTTGTATTTAACTCTTTAAAAACAATTTAATCTATCAAGTGGATAAATATATTAAAAACTTATCTTACACAAATATTTGCATGTTTAAATTGCTTAGTACTACTAAGCTCCTTCTGAGAAAAACATAGCTTCTTTTAGAAAATATTTGATTTACTAAAGAATGCATTAGTTCTTTTTATGGTATTTTTAAAACGTTTGTAGCTTGGAGGCTCTCCCTGATCCATCTTTGTCAGTCGGGCCTCAGGTGTCCTCTGTGTCTTGATGTGCCTTCTACCAGCTTCAGGAAGTGGTCCAACTACAATCCGATAGCATGATTTCAGTAAACTATGCTCTGATACTCTCTAAATTATATTACTACAATGCACACTATGTGGGACTGCTCTTGAAGACTGTTCAGAAGGTAAGCTTATGAAGAATGTGGCAATCAGCTTAGTAACTGGGACCCATAGGTCCAGTGTATAAGACCAGTTCTGGACTGCTTGCATTGGGTGCCTGTATGCCCAATTCAAGGTTCTGGTTTTACCCTATAATGCCTTACATAGCTTGGAAGTACAGTATCTGTTGGAGCACTTCTCTGAACTCTTGATATCTGGGATCTTCCTCCAAGTTCCATGGGGGGGGGGGTCAAAGGGTGACAAAAAAGGAAGGGCTTTCTCTTTGGTGCCCCCCATCTATGGAAAAAAACTCCACACTACAGCTAATTCCAGGTTAAGACAACCTTTTATGCCAAGGATTTTAAAAATATACTTGGATATCTAGGGCTTGAGCGGATTACCAATGTTCTACAAGACTATTTTTAACAGTATGTTTTTAGTTGCTTGTTTTGTGTTTATGCTTCAGCTATAAGTAATGCAGAAATGAATTAAATAATAATAAATGATAATGTATATGTAAGAATATGCACACTTTAAATCATGGCTTTTTAAAAGACCCATTTATAATTATATGAATTATGCACAGTAACTTTACTGCAGAAATAATCACACAGACACAAACTTTATCAAGCCCAGCTTTTAAGAAGCCTAAGTAAGTCTTAACACATTACTTGTCTACTTAACAGTTATCATGAACTCCAATCAAGATGAAACAGGAAGTTACAATCCTGTACTAGAATATTAGAGCTGAAACATTTACCAACACAAGCTACAATTCCAAGCATTATGTCTAAAAGTCTTGATTTAGTAGCCAGCCAATCTAATAGCCACCATAACAGATTCAAGGTTGTGCAAATATGTTATGGAACCCTAGAATAAGAACCTAATTTAGCATTGGATCAGCAAAGCCCACCTAAATGCACTAGTAGATTATTCTAACAAAGTGATGTAAGGCACTACAAACTGGACTATCTATAGATAGAAATACTACATGTCTTAAAGCTACTCATTAGCGTGCTCATTTCCTTTGGGCAAAAAAATACAAATCTGTGTTTAAAGCTAAAAGGGCTGACTGAACAGTTTTTAAAATCAACGTTACCTTTATTGTACAAAAATGGGAGGAGAAATTAAAGAAAGTAACACTTTTGGTAACACTGCAACCCTATCCTTGAGTTACAGCAGCTACACAAGGATAGGACTGCTACTAAATTCCTATGTTGATGTAAGTACAAATTACATTGGTATTGTGAGCTTATCTTGTTTTTGTGACATAGTTATTTCCTGTAGCCAAGCCAGAGCACAGAATGGGCAGTGGGAAAGAAAAGACAGTTCCATCAGACTACCAAAACTATTTTAAGCCCAGCTACTTGTTATAAGAAGTGTAAGTTTAAGACCAGATGCTTAAACTTGCTTTTGTTCTCCTTCCGCCCTATCCCCACCCCCTTTTTGTATTTTAGCATATAGGCTTCAGGGCTGACTTATCACTTATATTGTTCAGTGAAAATTTCTGGCTGAAGATTATTTTAATTTAGTTGGGATCCCATTGACAGTTCTTTTTGTCATGGATAAGACGGGTCAACGAAACAGCTGTTAGCACTCTGTTCGCTTTCACTGGCATTAATGGGCAACCTAAGACAACTGCACACATATACATCCTCAGATTCCATTCTACAGCCAATCACAGCTAATAACACTAAGACTATATAAGCTGCTACAGGAGAACAGTGTTCTAAATTCTTGAGAAGCACAGGTCCTGAGCTCTTTCTATCTTGATCTGAAGTATGAATTTACTCAGCTTTCCAAAACCCCACTTCTACATTTCAAGCTTTGCTTTCCTCCCTCCATAGAAGAAAACACAGCTGACACATCTATACTTATTGCAACCAACTAATATATGTCATGTTTAAGTATTAATTAGGTATCTATATAGACAATGTGTATTTTAAAAAAAGTCTGCCTGCAAAAGGAACTGAACAATTGTAATGGTCTTGAAATGTTTGGTCTTGAAAATGAAAAAAAAGCACCCCTCAAAGAACAGCACATTAAGGAACACTTCATGACTCAGTCTGAGTAGTAGTATAGCTCATTACAGAACTAAGTCCTGGTGGTGAAGTGAAATAATGAAATGTATTCTTCTGTAGAAAAGAAGCAAGCCTAGCAACAAAGTAAGAAGGTAAACAACTATTAGTCTTCTGAGAGCCCTGAAAGATATTCCAGATACAAAGACAAGTCAAGAAACTTTACTTCTCCAACCCAGGCTAAAAGAAGAAGGCCTATTCAACATGTTCATGAAACTGTTGAGTATTTTGGAGTGTTTTGCCATCAATCTGTTGATGACATGCAATTCTATTTCTCCTTTTCATCTTCAGCAGGTGAGGTTGTGGAGGTGCTAAACCAGTGTCGGGCCGTGCCATCAGACTGATTAAGGAGTAACAAACTAAAGTTCAATCTAAACAAGACTAAGATGGTGTTAATGAGAGATTCCTCTGACCAGACAGATGCAGGGGATTCCTAAATGAGGTCACACTCCCCCTGAAGGAACACATTTGTTGCCTGGCTCTTCTTGAAGGCCAGGTAGCATCAGCGGCTCAGAGTAACCCCTACCAGCTTTGGCTAGTGGCTCAGCTACACCTCTATATGGCCAGAGATATTAGTAGTCTATGCTATGGTCATTTCTAAGCTAGATTTCTGCAATGTATTTTACACTGGGATGTGCTTGAAGACAGTTCAGGAGCTGTTGGGCAAAATGCAGCAGCGAGATTAATGACAGGGACCAAATGGTCAAATCACATAATTCCAATTCTAGCCCATTTGAATTGGCTGCTTATATGATTCTAAGTCCAATTCAAGGTGCTAGTTTTGACCTATAAAGCCCTACATAGCCTGGGGCCAGAATATTTGATGGAGCACCTCTCCTGACAACAATCTACATGGACACTACAATCATGTTCTGGGGCCTCCCTCCAATTGCCATCTCCAAGGAAGGCTCGAGTGGTGGCAACAAGGAGAAGGGCCTTTTCAGTGCCCGCCCCCCTCCATTATGGAATGACCTGTCCCCTAAGCCTCTCATGGCACCAACCTCAGTATCCTTTCAGAGCCATGTTAAAACTCTCCTCTATCACAGAGCATTTAATTAGTTGTTTAGGGGCTTTGTTAGCTGCTTAACAGGTTGCTTAATTTATATAGAGTTCTACCTAATGGACAGTACAGAAATTAATTAATTCAAAATAATAAGGCCTCTCAGGGAGAAGATAATGGGAAAAATGTACTGGGAATGCAGGGACAAGTCTCAAAGGGCACCTCTTATCCCTATTCTTTGAGCATCCCAAGGGATGTCAAGCCACACAGAATACCTTCAACTCCTTTCCAGTAAGTGGAAACTGAATAACGTAACAGTGCTTCCTTACACAAGTAACAACAATGACTTCTGCACAGGAAATATAGAGTAAATATGCACTGCACATAAAGAATGCCTAGTTTTCTGAAAAGCCCCCATAGAATAGGTAAGGTAAGGGAAACAAAGCCACATCTGCTCATGAACAAATAATCTGCTTATTGCCAGTGCTGACCAAGGACTAATTAAGAACTCTTCTATTCAGGAGCAGGTCCAAGGAATACAAAAGAAATTGACTTAATAAATAGTAGCTGAAGACAGAATTCCAATGTAACTCCCTACAGTAGATGACTAGGTTTGATAAAATCAATCCCAGCAGGTGAATCCCTGAAACAGCTTCCCATTATACACCAGCATCACCATGTTTCCCTGTTCTCTACATAGGTAACAAGGGAGCCATCCAACATTCAGAAGACCAGGCAGTTTTTTGTCTACTGCCATGTAGATCACAAAGCAAGGTCCACTGAAGCAGTGATTAGCAAGAAGTCACTATTACTATGCACATTTGTGTGCATGCAGTATTCTAAAAGCTACGAGAATATAACAGGTACAACAATAAGGGAAATGGCATGTTAGCTTCTCAGAAGTTGCTGCATAATCAAAATGATTCAACAAAAGCTTTATTCCAATCATGCCTCTATTCAGGTAACCATTAAGGAAGGACGCCCTGCTCCCTTCCAAAATAGAAACCATTGATCAGGGACAGGCAGGTTTTACAAGAAGGTCCCCTTTCACTTCCAGTCAAAAGGTTAATGTACAGGTGATGATACAGGTTTCTGTTACTTAGAACAAAGAGTAATTTTACAGAACATGAACTTAGCATCCTACCCTGTGAATACGTACCTAAAAGACAAATGGGCTCTCCATGGGTTATCGCCACTTCTCTGTCAGTCCTCCCACAGATATCCTAAGAATACACATGTCATGTCTCCTGTTCCCACTGTGATTTCAACCTTTCTGTGATTGCCTTGACTTCCTCCCCATTTTTCCCATTGGAATATCTGATGTGACAGCTCCTCCAAAGCGCTCAATAGGGCGCTGGTAGAAAAAATTTTAATTTTTTCTACCAGAAATATGCATTTTTTCATTATTTTTTAAAAAATATTTTGGAAGGAGACTAAGTGTTCGGAGTTACTTAAGTATACAAATCAAACTACCTGAAAATAGAAGCCTTGCGTAGCCAAAGTCTGGGTAAATGCCTGTCACAGCAGGCATCCTATATGGCCACTGACAAAGCCAGGCTTCAAATATGTTGCTTGGCTTTTGGATCATAACTGACAGACAGTGAGCTATCAACTGCAAGGCAAAGTCATGAATAGGTCTTTGCTTGCAAAAGTGGGAACGGCACAGCTCTTAGGGTTCTCCACTTTTTCCCAAGACTCATGGTACTCTGGAAAATGGAAACACACAGTCCCACTCCTTTAATCAGAGAACTTACTTTTGACGGATATACTTTTTATAGGGCTAAGCTTCTCTCTCTCTCTCTTGGGGGGGGGAGGGGGACTGACAACAAGGACATATACAGGTTTCATTCCAGCAAGTCATATCCAGCCTTGCCTGATCAATTGTCATGGCTCTTGTCTACTGCACTTGGACAGCAGACACTTACCAGCACATTGGCCAGGCAAGGCTCCGCATTTCAGTCTTTTCTAAGTGCGCACCCGTGAAACTTCAAAAAGAAAAAAAAATACACACATTGTGCCACAGACACCCACATGGAGCCAGGGACTCTCACTCCAAAGTGCTGGCTGGCTGTTGGTGAAGCAACAATCACTGACAGCAGGAAAGGCAACATCACCAAGAGGTGGGTTGATACTGTTGAGAGGTGGCTCAAATCCACCTTCCTGTAAGCTCCCAGGTTTGGATGGTATGCAAATATAGCAAAATAAAGCAATATATTTAAAGCAACAAACCCCAAATAAAGCAATATATTGGCAGAAACAGATTGCAGGAAAGACCAAATAGGGTTTGTTATATAACAACAAGCAACCCTGCAAGAAGTGGTCTGGGTCTAGACATCTCAGCAGTCCAACCATGATGGGTTGCTGTGCTGTGGAAACCAAGTCATAGACTACTCAGGTTAAAAAAAAAATACAGCTTACACTGTTCATTGCTATCTGATGTATTCACTGAAAAGATTTATAAGCTACCTTTTAAGATAAACCCACCATAAAGGTGGTATACAGCACTATTTAAAACCACAGCACAGTCAACAATGATAAAAACAATGGTAAGAAGAAAAAAGGGCAAAATTAGCCATTAAAACTGGTTAGCATCATATAAGCTACAGCAGGCAACAAAATCCTAACTCAATTATAGGCCAAAATAAATAGGTCTTTAGGGACTGCTTAGAGGCCTGTAATTAAAGGGATATAATTATTAAGAAATGTAGGGGGGAAAACAGATCCTTGTGGTGCCCCAGAAACCAACCACCATAGATAAAGCAGTAGTGCCCCAGCACCACTTGAGAAGGAAATACTGAGACAATCATGACACTGTGTTTTCCGAACAAAACATGAATAAATGGTACAGAAGTATATCAACAATTAGTAGCATCAAAAACCACCAAGAGGTCCAGAAGACATGAAGTGTAGCATTCTTCAACTACACCCATACCCTTGAAAACTGAGGCTGTTTCTGTCCCAAAGCTGAGACTTAAACCAGAATGGAATGCATCTAAATAATTAGCAGCATCCAACATTGCCTGAAGTTAGGATGCTATTCCATACTCCAACATCTTGCCCAAAAATTGAACATGAAGATACTGTTCAGTAATTATCCAAAAACATCAGATCTAAATTTAGTTTCTTTAATATAAAGTCCTCATTGTTGATTCCTTCAAGGTTGCGGGGACTGTATTATCACACAAAGAGGCACTAACTATATCCAAGGTCCATTATCTTCCACCCAGCTCTGGCATATTTCAATTGTTATGACAGGCAAGGATCAAATAAACATGTGATCAGCTTCAAACTATCAAGCAGTTTGTACACGTGCTCAGACTGGACAAGCTGAAAGATATCTATAGCATGCTATAGCTCTATCCATTCTCAATTCTGCCAAAATTGTAGCATCTAAGTCAGAACAGATGTGAATTACTTCATCCAGGAACATATAGCAACTTGGTCATAAAAAGCCTCCGGGGTTTCCAACTTTTGCACACCAAGAAGGTCCTTCACCACTGGGAAAAATATTCTGCTTGAAGACACTGTGCATATAATCACCGAAGCAGCAGTAGGTTCTCCACCATTACGCTAACCAGGGCTAAGACAGACAAGCATCTGTCTTGCCTATTTAGGGGTGTACCAATACTTCATGCCTTCGATTTCCCTCAGACTTTCCCCCCATGATTTAGCACTTTCTTATATTTTTTTACCAATACTCTAAAATAAGGGAAAAGAGTTTGCAAACTACAGGAGTCATCCCCACTGACCAAATCAGAGAACTAGATATCACGAGCGCACCAATCCTGCCGAGTTGAACCTCTCACAGACCAGCAAAGCTAGGGGGAACTGGAAGCCTGAATTCAGCCCAGATGCCCTCCAGTTCAGTATATATGCTGCATATATCCTGAAATTAGAAGGTCATCCAGAAAATCCTTGACTAAAAAAGACTTATATGTCTGCAATCCTCCTCCTAATATACACAAGGCCCACAGTACTTGTGTATATTTATACCCAGGATAAAATAGAAGAAAGAGACCAAGTATCTTGTAAAATATGGTAGAATATTTATAGCAAATGAATGACCAGATTTGGTTAACAGATACATGCAATAACGAAAGCTAATTAAAAAAACTGTTCATATACCTTATTATTACTGAAATCCATCTACATGATATGAATAGAAACAAATAGCATTCATAAGTCTAATCACAAACAAGCTGAACTTTGTTACTGAATACCATCTCCAATAATACTTTGGTATGTAAATCTGTTGTGCTGTAAAATTATCATTAATTTTTGTTTATAGAACTATAATCTATAAATTATAGATTACTACAGTGGAATCATAATTAGTACAGTGGAAAACACAGTGAGAAACTATACCCTTTTATAGAACTTTTCTACTGTGGTTCAAACTCAGGTAGATCACAATTAAACAACTCCTCTACAATCAATGCTTTACACAAAGGCAATTAGTCACAATAGGCACTTGCCTTACTTACAAACCAAACAAATGGATTCTTCATGTTTACAAGCTACCTACCTACCTAATTGGTTGAAGTGCTTGTTCTGCATGAAAAAAATCTTGCCCTGAATCATGCTAAATCTCAAATTGCTTTCACACAGATGTTGCCATCTCAAATTATGGAAACATGCAACATAAGCAAGCAGAATGCAGAATGAACCTAAACTGCCATGCCTGTGCATGCTTACACTTTTTCACATGTGAACTTTGAGATGTTGCTATAAAATCCCCTACCATTTTTTCACTGTAATGTAAAGACAATTATGAAAAATATTGAAAGACGTGAAAAAAGGCTTTGTTAGGCACAGATATCATAAATAGATTTGACAGAAAGAAAGAATGCCTTTTGCTCAAAACTGCACTGGAAATATTGCCATTTTGGCTTATTTTCTGTTTTTAAATGGAGTCTACAAAGACTTCGAAGTGCTACAAACTTTACAGAGACAATGATCAATTTTTCTACTGTTTCAAAATGGAAACATATTCATTTTCCAATTACTTTTTGAGTAACAGGTGTTTTCACTCCTTGAAGAAAAGTACTGTTGATTATAAGTTGCTATGCAAAACTTTATCCCATAGAATATGGTTTCCATAATGCCAGTTAGAGGACCCACAATGCTATACAGTTTGCACACATCTATGTTTATGGCTAGAAATTGAAGCATTTTCTATGAATAGCTAGCGTCTAACCAAGTTGCAGTCTAATTTGCTTTTGTACTATACTGCAATACAACCCACATAAAGCCAAAAGCTATATACTGCAGCCACATGCAATTAAAGCCCAACAGCTCCTTCTGTGTTGCAAAGCAGCTTAGGGATGGGATAAGAGGAAGGAGGCACTTAATTTTCTCTGGCAGCTGCTTTTCCTCTGAAAAATCCTCTTCTGAGCACACTCACAAAGTAAACACAGATGTCAAACACTGGCAGTAGAAGCAGTTTGGTTGGTTGTTTCAACAGAGAACAGATCAAGCTAATGTTACATGTAGCTACAGTGAAATATGCAGTTTTGCCCTTAGTATTTAACAAATAATTGTGATAATTAACATGTACTAAAGATATTAAACATACGCATTCCTGCTATCACACAAATATTTATTTAATACACTATTACACACTAAATTATGTTAGTATATTGCCACTAATTTGTTTCTTTGAAATATTTCACATTCTGATACAATTAAATAATACTTACCTCCAGATCCTAGTTGCTTGTAGAATCTGTATTCCAAGTGTAGCTGTGGTGCTCTTGACTTCATTGGCTCCTGAAGAAATTAAAAACTTAATTTAATAAAATTATAAAAGCTAGCCTTTCAGTGACGCACAGGACACCAATAAAACTTAAGATTATACCTGTCTGTATACCTAAAATAGGACTATGTATGAGAAGCTCTACAATATGTACATACCTTCCTTTTTATTCAAAAACATTTATGGTCTTATGGCCATAATAGTACAGGCTTAATAATGTAATGATGTTCACAAGTCCTTTTGTATGTACTCTATATTATATACAGAACAGTCCATATTGAAAAACATTCTTTCACTACGAGTTCTTTTACACATGGGGCAGTAAAAGAAATGCAACTACAAGGATGACATATTGAGATTCCAAAGACAGGATTAAATTAGATTATCAGGAAGTTTTTTAATTTTGTAATTCGTAAAAGAATGAACACAAACTAGCAGAAGGTGGGCAGAAGTGCATGTGCACACATCTGGAATGTTGTACTGGAATCTGTTCCAAGCAGATGTAAATTCTGCTTGCTATTGCAGTGACCCTTATCCAAGGAAAATCAGTGTGTGAGAATCTGCTAAAATAAGAACCTGAGACACTTGCCTAACTAAATGCAATATAGGCAGTATTTTGGCCTCCTTGTTGAAGCAGGAAAAGGAAACTGTACAGAGAGATATATGGTGATACGGGATGAAAAATTTTCCATATTAGGACAAAACATGAACACAGAATACCCACACCAGCAGAAGTAAAAAAAAATTCTATCTTTCTGGAACCTATAGCAGTCTATCCTATCCACCCTACCATTTCTGACTGCCTTCAGCAAAGGGAGGAAAGCAAAACCAAGAAAAGCAAAAACTGCTACAATTCCTCAGATCTTCTCCTAAAGGCCATGTCAAGAAAGACTGGGGTAAAAGGAATGTGTGCCTGTGTTCTTCCTTCTCTAAAAATGAAGACAAAATTCACCATGTCCCAAATCCAAGACCTTAAATACTACCAGAATAATATCGCTGGAATATAAAGATGACCAATCAGTTCAGACAAATTTCTTGGGAAGGAGCTCATAGGAAACCAAAAAGCCTTGGAAGATATGGACCAATATATAGAGTACACAGCATATCCATGAATTACTGGAACCAAGACTCACTAGGAAACATCAGGCAAAAGCTCACAGCACATTGACAAGTGCTTCTATCTCTTATAAAGGAGATACTATTCATACTATTTAAAAAAAAAAAAAAAAGTTTAAAAATCCCTCTGTTCCTAACTACAAACCTAGCAGAAAAGCAATTCTTGTTCATATCTAGAACTGAAATAACAATATAAAAAACTATATAGCACTGAATTGAGAAAAGAACATTGTTCTTTACTATTAACGGGCAAAAAGACTAACTAGAGATCTATTCTTAAAACAGCAATCTGAACACAACTTAGCTGATGCAAGAAAGTACTAGAATGTTGTCTCCTAGTGGAAATTACTGTAGGTTTCAAAGTTTATAGCAATGCAAGCAGGACAGTGCTATATCAAGTCTTTAGCACAGCACTGCAAAGGGCTTAGATTCTAGAATACTTGTGGGAGGGGGCACAAAAGCAATGGTTCAGTGTTTAGAAATTCTACAAATATCCAGCAAAAAGTACCAACCTTTGAAAAACTCTTCAGAACACACAAGATTGCATGTATGTTCACACTAATAAAACCATAGAAATCCCTATATGGGATAGAATATAAAGGAATGCCATTTTCTTAAAATCATTTTCTGCTTGCTGGCAATGGCACTTACAGTGAAATCCTATACGTATCTTTTCATTATATCTATATGGTGGCCTGGTTCACATGAACATCATAGTTAAACAACTTTGTTTTAAGCTTGTTTGTTTGAAGCAAGTGTCAGATATGATTAGCATAATCACCCACCCCACTGCGACATGTTGGGTCATGCAGTGTTGTTGGGTTATCTGAGGCTGAGGTTCCCCTGAGGCTGTCCACCTTGGTGCAGATGTCATGAAAAACTGCAGTATTCCGCAAATAATGCCCAGTACCACAGTTTAAACAAGCCACTGTGGCTTGTTTAGTCTACACTGATTACACAAACTAGGTCACAGAGTTCAATGGGCCTTACATTCAAGTATGTCTGCACATAATTGGTTATAGCCTTAAGAGAAGAAACAAGACACAATATTATTCCTATCACTAGCATGTTATGATACTGAATAGTATCCACTACTCAGATGCTCTGCCTAGATGTAATCTGTATAATTCTGTTTATTTTTAATATTTATCATCAAGACACTATTCACCATTTCCTGTAGGAAAGTGACAAATGTACAAACATTGGTACAATGTTGTTGCATCTTGCCACCAGAAATTGCTTAAAGAAATGCTGAAGCCTTTGGAAGGCTGCCAGTAATTCAGTGTTGAACCAACTATTTAAGCTGTGGCAGTGTGAAAATATTAATGCTTTTACAAAGTTTAGCTAGATTAATTCAAATCATAAAATTAAATCCAAAATTAAAGCCATATCCAACTTTGTCAGCCAACATTAACTAAATATCAAGAATTTCAACAATGGAAAATGCAAATATTTATCACAGTATTATATATGAAATGCTATATATAACATTTAGATGGGTTATAAAAGATTTCTAGAGATACACTATGGTCTTGCTCCACCAAGACTGGTAGATGACAGGTTAGATAAAATAGTATAAATAACCATACCAGATTTTCAGAAGGAAGTTTCAACCCTTGATATGTGATGCAATTATCTGAAGCTTATATGTGCAAAGTGTCAAGCTAGAATCTTAAAACAAGTACTCTGATCAGAGGTTCAGAGGTAGTAATCTATCTTGAAAGGTGACTCATACTTTTGACTTCAATGATTTTAAAATCATGTTAGTTTAAATATTTTATCTTGAATAATAAATGACTTTACCCTTTCACTATAAAGATATGCCATGGAAAAAATGAAAGTAGCTTCCACAGTACAAATGTACACCTTTAAGTGCAACAGAACAGACAACTACAGAACATTGCCCAAAACAAGCAAATGTTCCGTTTGCTCTCCGACCTGGAAAGATTTGAATATGATGTTCAGAATTCTGAAGCCCACAGCATGATATATAATTATAGGTTAAAACTGGAGAAGCAGAAGTTTTAAAATGAAAAAATCTGTACATGTTCATATAGTTGCACACACCCACATGCACAAAGGCACCTACAAGAGAGGGGCTATGTGAACACACACTTTCATCTTTCTTACAAGTTGCTAGCCCATCTAGCATTACCTCTCAACATCCACACTCCTCTTTGTCTAGTCACTCAGAGTTCAAGGATGCCATTGCCCTTTTTGGACTCTTACAAGACACTTTAACAACTATGGAGTATGCCTGTGAAAGTGTCCCAGTGCATCATTACTCACCTTCTAGGTTTATGTCACTCTTTATATACTGACAGAGAGGGAGGAACCAATAATGGCAGCATAGACAGAATGTGGGATGCCATGTGATTTAATTTCTCAAGCCCTTCTAATTCAGTGTGCCCCAGTTTAGAAAACTACAAAACGCAAGCAGATTCAGTGGAGGAAAACTGATTAAACATTTTCCCACATTTATCAAGACAGGGTAGGGTAGTGCTATGAAAGCATAATGGGAAAGTCACTCTGAAGAAAATGCTCACCTTTTAAAATAAAATGAGAAAAATGCAGGTTGCTTACCTGTAACTGTCATTCCTCAAGTGGTCATTTGTGCATTTACACATATGGGCTCTGCACCTACGTGGAGCCTGTTGCCGGAAAGATTCAATAGCTAAGAGGATTTTGGCAGGATCCCCTCCCCCACCCCAGCATCCATATAAAAGAGGGGGCTCCTGCCCTTTCCCTCAGTTCCAATGAGACCATCCAGAGACATAAGGACTAAGGGAGGATTGGAAGTATCAACCTTGCGTTGAGCAAAGCAGTACTATATCCACATTAGGGAGCAATAGTAGCATGCCCACATTAGCAAGTGGTATTGTGGAAGGGAGACACTCACAAAAAGGACAAACATGCACAACACAAATACAGTTACTCCCAGTGGGTAGGTGGGTGAGTAGTTGAGTGAATGCACAGATGACCACTTGCTAATGTGGGCATGCTACTATTGCTCCCTAATGTGGATATAGTACTGCTTTGCTCAACGCAAGGTTGATACTTCCAATCCTCCCTTAGTCCTTATGTCTCTGGATGGTCTCATTGGAACTGAGGGAAAGGGCAGGAGCCCCCTCTTTTATATGGATGCTGGGGTGGGGGAGGGGATCCTGCCCTTTCCCTCAGTTCCAATGAGACCATCCAGAGACATAAGGACTAAGGGAGGATTGGAAGTATCAACCTTGCGTTGAGCAAAGCAGTACTATATCCACATTAGGGAGCAATAGTAGCATGCCCACATTAGCAAGTGGTATTGTGGAAGGGAGACACTCACAAAAAGGACAAACATGCACAACACAAATACAGTTACTCCCAGTGGGTAGGTGGGTGAGTAGTTGAGTGAATGCACAGATGACCACTTGAAATACAACAGTAATCAACCTGTCTTTCCTCTGCGTGGTCTCCATGCATCACACATATGGGTTCCAATATTGCCTCTGACTGCAAATTGTTCAGTGAAGGAACCAAGATCTGTTCAGATGAGTAAGAAATCAAATTTGAAAAGAGAAGAAATGCTCTGGGGGTGCAGGAAGGACAGCAAAGGAACTTCCCTAGGCACTGAAGAGGTCAAAGAACTGAGAGCAAGGGCAGGAACCATTCCCTTTGATATGGACACTGGGGTGGGGGAGGAGCTCCTGCCAAAATGAATAGCTACTGAATCTTCCTAGCAAGGTCCACATAGGCACAGAACCCACATGTGTGATGCACAAAGGCCACGAAGAACTGTGATTTCTCTCATCTTTGTTAACAGTTAAGATATTCAGAAGAGAAGCTTGAAAACAGTGCTTACAAAATTGTTCTATAAATTCAGCTATTCATTTGATGAAATCCTCACACCTAGGTACATACACTGTCAATCTTCCTTAGCAGGGATCTCATATTGCAATAAATCCAGGAATGTAAACTTGGAAATAGTGAGATTTTGTTCTGTTTAACTCTAGAAGCTTTCAAGATTTTCTAGAACCCACACAAGAGAAAGGGAGTAATGGATATCTAAGTGAGAGCAGGGATCTTATACCCCTGGTACAACTGAAATACTATAATACAATGAAAGGTGCAATTTCCACAATCATTAAACAATTCTTTAATTCCACTTAAACCAAACTTGTTAAAAATAAGCATTAAGGTCACGTTTATATTTCAAATAACAATTAGTGTCAACTTACCAGCTTAATTGCCACGTATTCATTTGTATACAAATTTTTTCCTTAAAAGATAAAAAGACAAGAATGCCAAATCATATTTTTGTGTTCCAAGAAAACAGCATACAGTTGACAAAACTGTGCAGTGCTAGTTTACCTAAACAAATGCATTCTATTTCTCAAACTCTTAGGTATCAGAGAAAAATCAACATTTTACAACAGCAGCCTCACACTGTAATAGATAAACCTTTTCATCACAATCTCTATCAAAGCAGTGTAATGAGTTCCTCCTAAGAAGAACTGAGAGCTTATCAAGAGCTTTATGTTATACTAAAATAATTTAATTTCTAAAACTAAATTTACTTTTACCATTTTAAGTAGATCAGCAGCATTTAACTTTGACAGGGACCTGACTGAAATAAGTACCCTGTACAAAGAGCAATTTTTGTTTTAATATTTAATGTTAGAAATATTGAAGTTCATGCATTTCTTCCTTCCTGCACTTTCATTTGGTATATTTATATTCTGCAGCTGCCTTGAGATTATTAAGAACACAGTATACACATTCTTTTCAAATGAACAAATTAATAAAATATACTTTCCCAAAACCTCCAAAGTGAAACTTCTCCTAGTGTTGTCTTTTTTTATTTTTTACAAAAGGGGGAAGTAGCAGAGAGCAACCATTGGGAGAGGCAATCGTATAAGGGAAATAACTATCAGGAAGATTCCAACCAAGTGTACCACTGCGCTCATTCACCCATCACCTGTTTTCTGTTTCACAGGCAACAGACCAGTGACACTGGTAGCACACTTGGCCATTAAGGAACCCTGAAAGTACAGACTGAAAGCCCTCCACTTGTTGCTCAACCTCCCAGAGTGCAGTTACTTATTTCTCACCACTTGGGAAAGGCAAGGGATAACCCAGAATCATCTAGTCCCAGGAACAAATCTTGTTCCACAGCCACGATTTAACATACAAGTTGGTGCCCATCACTATATCTTATGGCAGCAAATTTAACCATGGGCTTTATGAAGAAACACTTCTTAATGGTCATGAATCTCCTCCACATTCAGTCAAGAAAACAAGATGACTGCTGGAGAAAGCAGTCTGCCCCTTCCTCCAGCATATATCAAGCACAGAATTGCTTCTTGCTGCTCTATGCTGAACATGGAAGAAACAACGTATCCTCCTCCCAGTCTACCAGAGAAACCAAAGGGAGAAGTCCATTATACCAGCATAACAACAAAGCCTGTTGATATTTCTATTTGTGCCCCCCCCCACCATTTAAGAAGAGTCCCTCCTTTGCCAGCATGAGGAGTAAAAAAAGTAATCTACTACTTTTTTGAGGAGTTATTGTCAAGGTTATACAGGATACTGCTTAACATTTAGTGGAATTATAGGAAGTCTAGGAGTTTGGTGAGGACAACTATTGAAAAAAATTCAAAAAGAATTGGGCAGACACTGTGCCAGTCTAGACAGCATAATATACCACACACTGTGAATTGCTTTCACACATGCCAGCTGCCATTATGAATATGCAACCTCTGTCATGTGAACTCAAGCTTGAGGAGCAGGGATTATATGAGGGTTAAAAAACCTTCACATAATGCTGAAACAGACCATGGGTTTCCATATTCATAACAGTGGCTTGGATGTACAGCTCCTTGAAAGCAAATAAACCTATGGTGTACTAAAGTGTCATTGAAACCAGTGCACTCTAAGTTTGCAGATAGCACATGTACATCAACTGTGTGGCTTGTTCTTATCAAGCACACTACAGAAAACCATTTATAGAATGTTTTCATTCCTGCCTTTAAAAGAGATTAATGAATTTTAAGACAGCTTAAATGAAAATAATTTCTGCAGCAAAAGGTGGAAAAGTAGAACAAGTGCAACCAGTTATAAAGCAAAAGATGAAATTAATTACATTTGTTTAAATAAAATGTTTTAGAGCGATAGTGCAGTTTAGCTTATTGAATGTTGGACTTACTACTGAAAGAGTTCAACCCTATAATGAGTGACTAAGTAGCCTTTGGCTTGTCACTCTTTCTCAGCTTCACTTGTTTTAGAAAGTTGTTATAAAGGATAAAGTAACATAAACCCAATTGACTCACCTCAAGTTCTATGAAGTACAAATACGATAATTTTCTAACAAAAAAATGGAATATTGTACATTTAAGATGAAGGTTTCTTCTCTTTTGGTGTGAAGGAAGGATGCAGCTCTAAGTTAATTCCCCCCTCACCCAGAAAAGGTGGGGATAATATGACATAGGTTTCTACTAAGAAGTCCTTCCCTAGCTGTGCTATTATATATTTATTTCATTTCTATACAGCTTCATACTGAGCTCTCTGGGTGGTTCACAATGATGTATAAAACCAAACAATAAAATACATCTCATAACCAAAGAGAAAGGTCTTATATATTACACCCCATCTCAACATCAAGATATAGTGAGGGATTAAACTAAGAGATTAGTCCAATAGCACTCTATGCAATTCAGCTACGTATCAATAGGATGTGATTCTGCTGCCTACTTCACTTGCAAATAGAAGGAACCTTTGAGGATGTGTCCAGCTTTTTATTTTCTGTTTGCATTCAGCAATAGCACATACACATACTAGCCTAAATATTAGCGTAGGAATGAAAGCTGCTCAGACTATGACAGAAGTAAATATGCTGTATCTCCTGTTTCCCTAAGACTGCCTCTGAGGAGGTACAAGCAGCCATATGCAAAGCCTGATTAAGATGTTTCAAGCAGGCCATGTGGCAGGCCTACAGATCTCTGCAAGGGATATTCCTTAATGCAAGTGTTGATTCAAGTTGGTTGCAGAAGAAATGCTAAAATTATGCTGTACAACAGGGAGCCTCATTTCAAGGTCAGCTTTCCTCTTGAAAATGTTTTCATTGTGCCCAAGAGGCTCCTTACATGGTCGATGGCAGTGGTGGCGAACCTACGGCTTGCGTGCCACAGCGGGCATGCAGAGCCCTCTCTGTCGGCATGCAAGCCAAGTCACCCCAGCATCGCCCCAGCAGCCGAGAATCGGATAACAGCGTACATAGGGGCCATGCGCATGCTCGGAAAGGAGTAGTGGTGCCAGGAGATGACATCACAAGCCGCAACTCCTTAGCCGCGACTCGTCCAAGCTTTCACATGGCCAGTCAGTGCACTGCCAAAGATAGATAGATAGATAGATAGATAGATAGATAGATAGATAGATAGATATATTTGCTTGGACTGGCTGTGAGTTGTTTTTTCTAAACTAAATCCTCAGTTTTCAGGTTTTATTGCAATGTTGGCACTTTGTGATAAATAAGTGGGTTTTGGGTTCCAGTTTGTGCACTTGGTCTCTAAAAGGTTCACCATCACTGATCTATGGGGGTTTTTCCAGGTCTGGAAGGCCCAAATGGCTGCTGGAGCTGATATGTATGGGTTCAGGAAAAGGGCCTAACTGATATCCCAAATTTCAGCAATGGCCAACTTGGGCAGGTTCCAACAAAGGTTGTGATTGGTGACTCGATCTAGTTAAGTTCTGGAGTAATCCAAGCACAAACTTTAATCTGCATGGTGAAAGCATTAAAGTAGTTGTGCCTGAACTGTAACAATGCTGGGATAGTCTCTGATAAGATCTTAGAGATGGAAGGAAGTCTGCTAAGAGTACTCCCATTATGAGCACTTCAGCTATGGGTGGTATACAAACATAATAAACAATAATAAACAAATAATGAGTCCCAGAAGCAGCTTCCTCAGAGCACAGCTTACTTTGCACCACACATTTACTTCACACCATACATTATTTCACGCTACAAATGCATTGAACAGCTGTCATTTCCTTCACCAACTTAGGAGCAGTTAACTTTCACTGGAGTCATAACAAAGAAAGGAGAAAACTGACAATGAATGGGAAGCCAACAGATGAAATAAAAACAAGCCAATAGGAATGATAAAGGTGAACAGAAATTGGAAAGGAGTCTATCAGCACTGAGCAAAATGCATGTGCTCACTGCCTTTCCTCAGGGATGGTGGAGTTAACTCATTTCGGGATACTTCCTCACTCTAAACAGTTCTAATAATTTAGAAGATAAACGAGTTCACAAACACTCAATTTTTATTATTTGGCTGACTTTTAAAATGCTGACTTAAGCAATGATTTATCAAATCCGGAATAAGCACTGAAGTTACATTCTCCTTCCTCTCCCTCATGTACTGGCCTTTGTGCTTCTATTATAGTTTGTTTAAACCACAGTTTCCTATTGGGCCTGAAATGGGGAACAGCAGTTTAATGTTCATTTACTAACTAGAATCTAAGATTAGGATGAAAACAGAATTTCCTAGTCTAGTTGGTAAACAGAGACTAAACCTGTTTCAGACATAATGGCAAACTGTGGCTTAAAGAAACCACAACATAAGCAGCAGGGTTGGTGCACAAAGGAACAAGGGGAAAGAGCAGTCTTGAAGCTTGTTCCTGACTTTGTAAATGACAGAATTCTTTTATATTACCTCGCCGCTGCTCCGCCGCCCGCTGCTGCCCCGCCACAGAGGCCAGAACCACCTGCCCAGGACCCTGCTCTGGCCTGCTTCCCCTGGCACGTGTGAGAGACGCGCCGGGACGGAGTGGGGCACGGGGAGGGGCCCTGCAGGCCACAAAGCACCGGTGGCGACCGGGGCCAGTGGCCTCAGGCTGGCGGCCAAAGGTCGATGGCCTAAGGGCGGTCGCCGTTTGGGGGCCGAGTGGGGGGCTGGCCTGGCCAGGGGCTTTGGCTGTGGTTTGGTTTTATCTGTGGGCTAGTGGAGGATTACGGTGGATTATGGTAGGATGTTTTTAATGGTTTTAATTGTTGGTTTTAGATTGCTTTTAATTGCTGCATCTCGTGCTTTACTATGATGTCGCCTGGGGAGGGCGGGGGCGCCACCATCGGGGTGGTGATGGGCAATGGACGTTATGGCACTGGGGGTCTAACGGGTTAGCATAGAAGAGGAGTGACAGATGGTTAACACCTGTCCCTCTTTCCGGTTATTCCCCCAGCCGGCGGATTCCAGGTAGACTTGTCAACTGCCCCCTGGGCCTGTCGATATTGCTGCTTAATGCCAGGTCGGTCCAAAATAAGGCAACACTCATCCAAGATTTGATCATGGATGAGAGGGCCAATCTGGCTTGCATCACAGAGATCTGGGTGGGTGAGGGGGGATGTTTCCCTCCCACAATTGTGCCCGCCCGGGTACCTGGTCCAGCACCAACCACGCCTGGAGCGGAGGGGGGGGGTCGCTCTGGTTTATCGAGCTTCTATTTCCCTTATGGAGCTTCCTGTCCTCTCGAGGCCAGGGCTGGAATGCCTCCACTTGGTGTTGGGCGACCAAGACAGACTGGGGATTCTGTTGGTGTACCGTGCACCCTTCTGCCCAACAGACTCCCTGCCTGAGCTGACGGAGATCGTCTCGGACCTGGTGTTGAAGACTCCCAGGATGTTGGTCCTGGGGGACTTCAATCTCCATGCCGAAACTGTTCTAACCAGGGCGGCTCAGGACTTCATGGCCTCTATGGCGGCCATGGGGCTGTCTCAACACGTCATTGGCCCAACCCATGAACGTGGACACACTCTGGACCTAGTTTTCTCAACGGGGCAGGAAGAGGGTGATCTGAGGGTGAGGAATTTAAGTTTGATGCCCTTGTCATGGTCAGATCACTTCCTCATAAGGTTTGAGCTCAAGAGCGGCCTTTCCCTCTGTAAGGGTGCGAACCTGATTGTATTGGTCTGCCCCCGGAGCCGGATGGATCCTGATGGATTCCTGGAAGCTCTGGGGGATTTTCCAGTTGACAAGGCTGGTGATCCTGTCGATGTCCTGGTTGAACTGTGGAATGAGGAGATGACCAGGGCTATTGACACGATCGCTCCCAAGCATCCTCTCCTACCTGGCAGAGCCCGTTCATCTCCTTGGTATACACCTGAATTACGGGCGATGAAGCAGGTTCGGAGACGTCTAGAGCGTAGGTGGAGGAGATCACGGGGTGATTCTAACTGAACACACTTAAGAGCCCACTATCAGGCCCACTATCAGGCCCACTATGTGGCGGTGAGGATGGCGAAGAAGAAATTCTTTTCCGTTTCCATTGCCTCCTCACAATGCTGTCTGGCGGACCTCTTTCGGGTAGTGCAGGGGCTGGTACATCCGGGCCCAAAGAAAGAACTTGTGCCACCCTTGAAGGCCCGCTGTGACGACTTTGCCAAGCATTTCAGGGAGAAAATTGCTCAGATTCGCCACGAGCTTGACTCTACTACTGAATCAGATTCTACTGGGGAGATGCCATCGACACCGTCGAGTCCACAATTAATGGATGAATTTCAGTTGTTGCGGCCTGATGATGTGGACAAGGTGCTTGGACAAGTACGTCCTACCACTTGCTTACTAGACCCATGCCCATCTTGGCTACTTAAGAAAGCCAAGAACGGGATTGGGACCTGGATCCTGGAGGCGGTCAACGCCTCTTTTAAGAGACGGCCGGGTACCTGCCCCTTTAAAGGAGGCGGTAGTCCAGCCAGTCCTAAAGAAGGCATCTCTGGATCCAGAGGTGGCCGCCAATTATAGACCGGTGGCCAACATCCCGTTCCTGGGCAAGGTGCTAGAGCAGGTGGTGGCGGGACAACTCCAAGCACTCTTGGATGAAACTGATTATCTGGACCCATTTCAGTCCGGCTTCAGACCCAGGTATGGCACTGAATCTGCCCTGGTCGCCCTGTACAATGACCTGTGCAGGGAGAGAGACAGGGGAAGTGCATCCCTGTTAGTTCTCCTGGATCTCTCAGAGGCTTTCGATACCATCGACCATGGTATCCTTCTGAATAGGATAGTGGGATTGGGAGCTGGAGGCACCATGTGGTGGTGGTTCCGCTCCTATCTCAATGGCCGATTTCAGAAGGTGGTGCTGGGGGACTATGGCTCTGTGCCATGGCAGTTATGCCATGGAGTTCCGCAGGGCTCCATTTTGCCCCCTTTGCTATTTAACATCTACATGAAACCGCTGGGAGAGGTCATCAGGAGGTGTGGGCTGCGGAACCATCAGTACGCTGAGGATACCCAGCTCTACCTCTCGTTTTCCACCAATCCAGGTGAGGCAGTGGCTGTGCTGAACCGGTGCCTGACTGAGGTAATGGGCTGGATGAGGGCCAATAAACTGAAGCTCAAACCAGACAAGACGGAAGTCCTGTTGGTGGGTGGCTCAGGCCTCGGGATGGGGGACTTGGGCCTTGTCCTAAATGGGGTTGCACTCCCTCTGAGGGACAGGGTTCGCAGCTTGGGAGTGCTCCTCGACCCTGAGCTTCTAGAGACAGCTCAGGGTC